AAAAAAAACTTGACCTTTTTTAAAAAACTGAAGAAAACTACCCATCTGGCCACAAAGACAAAAATAAACAGCCCAGAGTGGCAGGACATTTAAAGATAAATCTAATATTTACAAAACAAACCTGAAGAGTTCAGCTGCTGCAGCTCTTTGAATGACTTCAGTCCAGAGAAACACGTTTCATTCCCAGCTGACTCATGAGCTAATGGCTAGTCRGAGCAGGGCTAAGACCAAWGCGGATTGCTGCCGCATYAAAACGACTGTAACCTCAGAAACGACAGATCGTGATTTTTTCTTTTTAAACAGAAAATATCGGAGGCAGAGTAATTCGGACGGAGTAAAATGGTGACGTGTGAAAGTTTTGAAATCAGAGTCGTTTTTAGAACAACAGGAATTCAGTTTGGCCTCTGCCCTGAAACTTTTTTCCTCCAAAATGTGGTGGATCACAAAGCCATCTGCAACAGGTAAGATATTTACTCTTTATAAGCCGTCCGCAGAGCCCAACTTCAAACGGTGTGAGCCATAAATTCTGGAGCTTCAGCTTGTCGAGTCTCTGTGCTGTGTTTATGGAGCTGTGCAGGAAGACGACTCAGTCGGGTTAAAACTTAAACAGAAGAGAAGTTTTTTTTTTACTTACAAACCTCGGATTTACAAAGTAAAGAAATCTTTAAATCGGAGCCGTTTTGAATCGACCGGTTCAACCCGTTCCTGCAGCACATTTTATTCTGTTTACAAAGAGCTCGAGAGAAAACAAGAACAAGTCAGCAACATTCTTGACCTCCTCCTCCTCCTCCTCCTCTTCCTCAATATGAAGATCCGAACCGAACCGGAATGACTTACAGTAAACGGCACAAAAATCAGAACAACTTAAATACGAAGACGACAGGTCGRCGCCGACATTTACTGCATCCTGAACCACCGGCTGATGGCTTTCAGACGAAAACAACCGTTCTCAGCGGTAATCCAACAAAAAATACAAAATAAACACAAAAAGTCTGGCTTCTAAATGCTTTAAGACACAAATCATTTGGAATGCATTTAAAGCTGAACAGTATCTGGAAACAAAAACAAATCAAAACGTTGATATTTGGCCCATAAATTAAAGACAAATAAAACATAATATGTAAACAGAAAATAGACATTTTGATAATAATGCTTGTAGTGTTAGTAAACTGCATGCAAACGGTGGATTTAGAGCTTGTTGTGTTCGGAAAAAAAGAACGACGTCTCCCGGATTTTATAAAAGGAGATAATTCACCTCAGTGGAACGTTTATTTCAACAATTCAAAATAAGAAAAAACAAGCAGAAACTAAACTTATTTCAGAGCCGCTTCCACAGAAAAACGGCTCAAAAACTTACTCTGGGTGYTTATTTTAAATAAAAATTAGTAAAATAATCAGAGGAGGGTTTCGCGCCACTGAGGTGAAA